CCTGGACTGAGATGTTTCAGGAAGTCAATTAGAATTAAGTGACCGCCCCAAGGCCCTGCTTCAATGGGGAAGGAAAAATCACAGTGGTAAGTCAGGAGTTCCCATCTCCAACTCTGAACATCCTTCAGTCACACCCCAGAAGGCAGAAGAGTCTGCAGAAAGAAAGGGAAGTGTGGAGATTTATGACAAGGGAGGCATTACAAACATCACAGTGCCCTCTTTAAGCTAATTGATCTCCAAGCCAAGGGGAAAACAAGGAACTGTATGGCTGGAGATCAGTGTAAGGAGATCAGTGTGTATGTCTATTCAGCAAATGTGGGGTTAATTAATATAACCCATACCTCCTTCAGCTCTGGTTTAATGAAACAGAGGGTTATATGGCAGTCTGCTCCCTAGCACAACAGAATGAAACAAAACATTCACACTGAAGCCAGAGACTTGGTGAGGCATTTCCCAAATCACTGCAGATGGGCACAGGCAAGAATCTGATGTGTAGAAAAAGGGGGAAGCCTGGCAGAAAAGAAGGGGAGGAAAATGAAGCAGTATAAAGGAACACAAGGAGTGGGGCTGCTCCACCACAGGCAAGTGGTGAAGAAGAGCCTAAAGTCTGATGTGTGCTTGTCTGTGTGCAGAACAGGCTGAACCCTGGGGGTGGATTATGACTTGCATAAATATCCGTGACTTATCCAAATGAATGGAGTGGCCTGTGCAGCTGAGCCATCATCCCAACTCCCTGTAATTAGCATGGGAACCTATTAATTCTTCCACATTACTGGGAAAAGAGATGAACACAGGTGCCTCCAACTAAGAGGCAAATTCCTATAAAGTACAGCATATTTTCAGAGTTCTCTCACCTCCAGGTGAAATATCTTCTAATGCATCGGAGAGCTCTGCTCAGGGGCCTGTACTGATTTTTTCAGCCAGTTCTGGAGCTGTTCAAATCCCAGCTACCCATCATATCAAGATTGAATGGATATGTCTCAGAGACAGAGCCTATTCCTGACCTTCCTTCCCCCAGGAGCACTGGAGCCAAGAGTGAGGGCAGAGTATCTGTTCCTACACACTGTTGTGCCACACAGCTCTGGCCTAAGCTAGACCCAAACAGCTGTGCTGGTACTGACCAATTCTCACGATATTCCCCAGAACACTGGCTGCAAAGAGCAGCCTGGTGGACGACTCTGCTGCTGAGTCTCTCTCTGACAAACATCTCTGAGTGAATGCAATGTACCCTTGCTGGGGAAATCTAGGGGGCATTCTGGGCAGAGGTGAAGGGTAGAAACTGCTTCACTGGGAAAAGTTCTGCCAACAAATTCCCTGGCAGAATTTGGTGGATTTAAGAGCAGACCCAAGAGCACAGCTACTTTCCATGAAGAAGAACTGTGTGAATGAGGCACAGGTTTCACAGCCCAGCTGTCCCTGGGAGTGCCGCAGGAGCAGACCCAGGGTCTAACAGGGGTGAGGTTTGTCCCACAGCCTGGGACCCCACAGCCCAGCTGAGCAGGGTTCCGAGCGAGGGCAGGGGTAACCACACCCAAGAGAGCTCCTACCGGGAATACTGATGAGGTTCATCTGACAGCAGGGGAGAGGAGGCCAGCAGGAAAGGAAGAAATGGGGCGGGGAGGGTGTGACAGGGTGTGACAGCTCCTTAAAGCAAGAGCGTAATTGGGCTCCTCTGCAGACTGAGTGGGCTGAGCCCTGAGGGACAGATTGTATCTCCTGCACAACTCCCATACCTTGCTAAAGCCTGTAGGATGGAAAGGGACTTGTGTCCCTGCTCCAGAAAACAGGTGATACAGGCACAAAAGTCTGGATGATACCATCAAACCTAGTGGCTTTCACCTGCAGCCTTCCAGTCCAGGGTTTCCTATTCAACACATACACATTCCAATGTCTCCTAGCAAAGACAAAGGCTGAAATAAAAAGGTCAGAAGTCACAACTGCAATGTGAATAGTAAGTTGAATGGGGATTTTGTTTGTAAGACTCTGGGATCATCACAGAAACTGGATATGCAGACAGTGAAATCTCTTTTTCATTTCTCCTGACAACCATCTCTGCTGACCTGGAAACACATCATCAAACAGAATCCCTGAATAAAGAAGAGAGATAGGTTTTTTTTTTTTTTTTACCTCCTAGATACAAGATGCTTTAGCTGTGAAGAAAATTATTTATCAGACTTCAGCTCCTTGTTTTCCTCAGTTCTTAGTTCTCCTATGAGCATCCCTTGAGTGATGACATTTATTTGGCATGTCATTTCCCTCTGAAGCTCACCCTGGCACAAGCTCCCTTTGCATTAAGTTGCTACACAATATAATTCAGGACAAGCAACTTGCTCCTGCAGGAAACCCTTGCCATTTGTTCACCCTTGACTGATATTTGCCAGGTAATTTCTCTACATAATCCTCCATCTATTCAATGTGTATTAGCTGCCCTTCAGAAGAAATTACTGTCTCAAATTAGAGCTGTTTTAATTGAAAAAAAAAAAACCAACCAGATTTAATGATATTTCTCTGGCCCTGAATACACGAGATAAAGCTTGCAGAGTGGGATTTTCTGTGGGGTTATCTCTAAGGCTCCAAACCTCAGCATCTGAGTAGCTTATTCCATCTCTGTACCATTGATTCTGTGCTTCCTCACTTTTGTCTACCTGCAATAATCTCTTGACAGCAGAAATGGAAACAGCTTCTTGTCACTACTTAATGATTCTGTCTTAAGGCAGGCACTGGAACTCAGCATAAGGTGAATTTTATGAATAAAATGAATAAAATCCCCTCCTGTAATAGTTTTCCTAGATGTGTCCACCCCCACCTGCTTTTCTATCAGAAAGGAAAGTTCCCAAGTGATTTATCTTTTGCTTTTCAAGCAAAAAGTTTGATACATTTTTTCCAGTTGTCAAAAAAAAAAAAAAAATTAATTGTCAAGCAACTGTCCTTATTTAACTATAATAGCAGCAGAAACCGGCTTTTTGATGCTCTGGTTAGCATCCTTCTCTATTCTTTTGGGATACTTAGATGGTCTCTGAACATCTGGATCACAACAATACACCAAAACCTTTATTTTCCAGCAAAAAACCTCTCTTGCAATAGAGAGTTCCTATCATCCACTTCTGAGACAGACACCTACTCACATACTTACTGAGACTTGTACTAAAATAAAATTAATCTACAGAAGGAAAAGGAACTCATCCAAAGATGCTGTCCAACTTTCCCCTTTCCTGCAAAGCACAACTGATGGTGCTACTTGCAGTTCATAAGATTATTTCTGTTAATTCATTAAGGCAGGGACCTGATCATCCAGAGCAAAAATGCTCCAAATAAATATAGGTTCAAATGAATAACCCTGTCAAATAAAAGAATAAATATTTCCCCATCCAGATGGCTCCCTTGACATCTAACCTATCTGATTTATTGGGGACAGGAAGCACAACTGGTGGGGCAGTGTGGGAGGCCTGACATTTCCACACTTGGCAAAATCCAGGGTTTTCACAAAGTACAACGTGTCCTGTCTTGCCTGCTCCAACTGGCTCAAGGGAATTCGGGAGAACTTGGAATATATAACATGCCTAAAGAGGTCTTTGGCTGACAGCAGGTAGGTTTGGGGTTAAAAAAATTATCCCAACACATCAAGAATGTCTTTTCCCATTAAAGAATTCCTATGATACTTTCAGGAAGAATTTGCTCTGGCGCTCCATCCCTGCCTATGGAAGGAGGTGCAGAGTGCTGCAGTGGGATTAGGCTGTGAGCTCTCTGCAACAAGGACTATCCTAATTTCATGTCTGATACTTGCCACAGTGTGGTCCTTTCTCACACCTCACAGGAGTGAGGAGTTTCTAACTAGAGACTCACAACTGTCACTCAGCAGGGTGAACATTCCCAGTGTTCATAGGCAGATCCCTCCCAGCCACATCTCACACAGGGATAGCTACAAACTTTGGGAGCCAAGTGCTTGTCTCCTCTGCTGCCAGGCACTGTCTCCTCTCCTCCTGCATCAGTCTCCCTGCCCCAGATACAAACCCCCAGCCTTGCCCATGCCAGGCCTTTGCTCCTGCAGGCCCATGACAGCCCCATGTGGGTCATCCATGGTGGTGTCTCTGCTATCAACCAGCTGTTGAAAATCCTTAAGGTCCCTTCCAAGCCAAACCATTCTATGGCTCTATCATTTGATTCAACTCAAAACTAACACTGTGAAAGATAAAAAAAACTCCTAATTGGATTAATTCCTTGCTCTGCTTTACTCTATAAATTCATGAACAAATGTGTTCATGGCTGGGGCATGCTTCTGATGGTGGTAAGGACTCACTAATCAGCAGAAGTGCTTTAGAGCAGACCCAAGTGCATCCCTGCTCTGAGATGGACACTTCCTGACCCAAGGAGCAAGGCTTGCAAGTGAGAACCAGCTTGTGCAAACTTTCACCCATTTGACCCCCAACAACTACTGACCCACCCAAGGAGCTGCTATTTTTATTACAAGGGGCTCACATACACCATCAGGTCCCAGGAGCCAAGCAAGTTATTACTCTTCAACTGAGCCTCAGAAGTGAGATACTTCAATGTGCACATTTTGCCTGTGACATGCACAAGGTAAAACCTTTCATGTTGACCAATCTTATGTTTGCCACCTCACCTGCATAATCACACTTGCAGCCTCTGCCCTCACTCATTTTACTGATTAAGCTCTCCCTCAGCTGCCCTCTTCTTCAGTTTATCCTGGAAATTTATATTGCTGTCTACAGAGCAGTATCTGAATAAATCTTGATGAGACAGTTCTTTAAGGTTGTTTTCTAATTATAAAGCTAATTTGGAAAAAAAAAAACAAAACATGAGCAAAAACAACCTCAGAGGAGCACACATATTTTATTTACAGCATGATGCATCCCAGGAAATCTCCACTGGAAACTACACGGAGCCAAATTTGTAAAAGTAACAAAAGCCATCAAATAAACACATCAGTCACTGAAATGAGAACTAAACCCCACAGACATAAAAACAAACCAGTTACTTACAGTTTTGCTGCGGTTCTGGAGGGAATTTGAGACGGATAATGGCCAAGATTATGAAAACAACCACAGGCCAGGAAATTAAAACAAACGACCATACCTATAAAACAGCAATGAAAATATATCGGTTACGTTTGTCGCATTGATGTTACCCAGAGCCTGTCTGGAATGTACAAGCAGTGCCCTAAGTGAGTTATGAGGTGCATTGTAAATCACACCTGTCTTGGCATGCATACAATTAAAATCCAAGCATTATCTATTCAGGAAGAAAAACTACCGAAGATTTCAAGAGCAAATAACAAGGCTGAAAGTAGCACAAGGTTTCAGTTTGGCTGATAATTATGGGGGACTGTGTTTACCCAGCTTTGAGACACTGCTATGTCACACTGAAGGCACGCTGGGAAGCACCAACCAAAAGATAAAGCAGCTGCAGTGTGAAAGCTTGGTTTCACTTTCAGTGAAATGATGGATAAATAGGACTTCAAGTGACCTACACCCCAAAATTAAAGTCTTTGACAAGCCTACAGCAGTTTTCCCAAAAAAATTTAGCTGTTTTCCACAACCAGTGGATCCTCATGGTAGAGCTGGAAGGAAGGATTTTCACAGTGGTCATTCACAAGATGTGGAGCTCAAGCACAGTAGAGGAAGGGGTTTATGGAGTTGTGCAACCAGCTTACAGAACACACATCTGAACACCCATCATCAATCAAATTCCCTTATAAGAACTTCTGATCCCAGCAGCCCAAATCCCTGCCACCTTTCCATCTCCAGTAGCAGTCCATACAGATGGGCTGAGATGATTCCCAGAATGGTTTTGGTTAAAGGGACCTTAAAGCTGATAGAGTCCCACCCGCTGCCATGGGAAGGGACACCTTCCACTTTGCCAGGGTGCCCCAAACCTGGCATTGGACACTGCCATTGATGGGGCAGCCACAGCCTCTCTGGGCAATCTGTGCCAAGGCCTCCCCACCCTCACAGGGAAGAATTTCTTCCACATATCTAGCCTAAGGTGGAAGAGAAATAATGTAATATTGCCCTGATGTGTTGAAAAACACATGACTATGTATAGAACTCTTGTCTCTATGAGGGTTGCCCCTTTCATTGGACAAGAATTAAGAAAACACTAGAATTAATCATGTACTATAGTAAACCAATCTAGGAAAGATGCCCAAAACTTTAAAATACAAACCCTGGAGTTTTGTGAGCTAGGAAATTGGAATTATTCAAATAATCCCTTGCATTTGCACTAGCTGGAGAGCTGGCTCCCATGCTTACTAGATTAAGAGTTTTCCATTCATCAGTAGTTAAACTGAAACTACTGTGTGCTACAAAATTGCTGTTCTATCTTCAGGTCAATTTTTGGAACTGCAAAGATGTCTTTCTTCAAAATAATCCCCTTTTTCATTGTTGTGTTGCTATTTTATTTCAGATCAGCAGATATTACCCAAAGCCTGTTTTCCAAAGTAATTCCAAGCCCATAACCGTGTTTTCATTTCCTGTAACACTCAGTGAAACATAAAGCCAAACAGACAGACAAACAAATCCTGGAGAGCAATTCAACTTAAAGATGGTTGTTCTACAGCAGCTCCATCCCTATCGTCCCTGATGAGGTGACTCAGGCTTGAAAGTAGGAGCAAACTCATGCCTCAAAATAGGTAGGTGACAGACATCAAACCACCTCCCCCCACACCCCTTCAGAAGGTGCTCCTATAATTTTAGCATTTAGCCACATTTAGCTTAGACAGACCATACCCTTCCTGCTTTTTATGTATACACTGCCAACCTGTAACAAGATCCATCACTGACACTGACATATTTTAGAATTTTTTTATATCAGATGCTTTCCCTATAATCAGTGCTCAAACATGCAGTTTAACTGAGATTAATTCTCATGCAAATAGTATTATTAATGTGTCCTCCTTGTTTAGTACCACACAGGCTAAAGTAAAATTATGGGGTAACAGCACAGAAACTGATATTAGTCAGAAGCTGCCTAAAGGAAGGGCTGGACATCTGTCACATTCCTGGGACAATAAATGAATACTGATTGCTCCTACTCAGGAAAATCATTGTCCCTCCCCATTTTGAGGGACACAATGGTGCTTATACTCCCCACTTTCCAGACATGTCTTCTCTCAGTATCTCTGTCCTGTGACTTAATTGGATTTAATAGTAGCTGGGCACATCAGTTGCAACATCGCAGCATTCCCACTGTCCCAGGCATTTCTAATAAACAAAAACAAGACAACCACCCTGGCCAAACTGTTTGCAGGTGGAACATCTTGGCTTGAATGGAACAACAACCAACCTCAATCTGGCTCTTGGGACATTAAGAACTGTGATGTTGGTTGCATAATCTCTTAGTTGCTGGATTATTTCACTGCTAAAAATTGATTTAATCTCTGAGAGCTTACTTATGATCTCTGGGTGAGTGCACATTTTCTCTCCCCTTTCTGCCTATGTTTAGATAATGAAGTGCAACACACAAGAGGCACCAATATCTCCAGTTACCTTTGGCGCTCAAGCCTGACTTTGCTCCCAAAAAGATTGGAGTTCACCTCCTCACAGCCTCCTCAGCCTGAGCAAGCTCCCTAATTTGGAGCAAGAGAGGGAAATAAAGGAGGGCTGCAAAGCATGCCTGCCATTAAATAGTCAGCAGTGGCCAGATTTTTATTTTAATTGGCATTTCAGTTCTACAGAGTTGATATTTCAACTCCACAGGAAACCAGAATTACAGCAAGTCAGACTGTGGTCAGAAGCACAGGTAGGGCTTAGGTGGCATTTACTCAGGGTACACAAGAGTTGAAAGGGACCCAAGCCTTCTGCTTTTAACGAGGCTATTACAATTTCTCTCAAGAAATTAGAGGTAATTTATTGGAATTCTTCTGCATCTCAGAAGAAGTGTATTTTGCAGCAGTGAAGAACACTCTGAGGCACACAGCATATCCACAGGAGTCAGAGGCACTCAGCATCTCTCTGAATCAGGCTCCACAACCAGGAGATAGGGCAGGGTAAGCTGGAAGAGACCTTGCAGAAGCACACAGTCATGCAAGGCCTTTCACTTCACCCTCACATCACACTCTCCATGAACCTCTTTCTTTGGTCAGCACTTCTGTGCCTGCCAAGGTTTCCATTCCACCAGGGCAAGTTTAAATCCCACCACGTTTGGGTTACTGGAGCACAAGTTATGGTGCAGCTCCCTGAACTGCCCAGGCTTCAGCTGAAAATACCACACACCAACACTGTACCAACACTGGACTGGGACAAAACTGGCCATGCAATGCCATTAGAAGGAACATTTGCTCCCTGATGCTGCTGCAGCTCAGATCCCTCTTTGGACATTTCTGGCAATGGTTTATCTTTTGGACAGAAAGATCATTGGGGTGTTTGATTTGCAGCACACTGGACTGCACTGGAAATCTGTTCTACCTGCATCTCTCAGGGCTACGTTTTTGTTATCCATCCTTTACAAATGCCTCTGTGTAAGGGCAGTCCCATCACCCCTAAATCCCAGAGGCTCCTCAGAGGCTGTGCACCAGGCACGGGGTTAGCAGCAGGTACAGAACTGCAGCCCTGACTCAGGTCTGCCCATGAGTCTGTGCATGGTTTTGTTTGTACAGACACTGTCCCGAGGGATCAAGAGAGGCATCCCTAGTACTCAGTCTGTACTCCTGAGCTTCACACAAGACCCATCTTCACTTCTGTGCCATTCCCTTCCTTCCTTCCTTCTGCTTCTACCACCACTCTCCCATTCTAACAGCACAACCTTCCTCTCTGCAGTGCCCCTCTCTCTCCTCAGCTCCTGGTGTTTCCAGGTTCCCCTTCCTGCACTCCCCTGTTCCCACACTCACCAGCTGCCTCTTGACACTCAGCCAGTTCTTCCAGAGCAGGATCCTGAGGTGCTGGGAGAGCGCAGCCATCCTTGGCTCACCCGACTGAAAGCAAGGGAGCTGCGTGTTCTTCCTTCCCACACTTAGGAGGCAAAAGTGGAGGCTCTAACCCAAAAGGGCATCCAGCGTCCAAAATCCAGGCCTCTGCCTCTTCCCCACAGCATAGCTCTGAAGCAGCTACTCCATCCACTTGTGGCTGCTGTACTCCCAGGAACTGTGGCTCTGTCCTCACAGCAATAGCTCCTAGCAAATTCAACAGGTTCTTCCTCTCCGGGCGGGCGGGCAGATGCAGCAGCCTGCCTCCACTTGTGTTAATTACAATATGCAGCCTCTCCTGGATGCTCCCTGTCCAAGCCCTCCCCGATAAAATGGATAGCATTCCAAAAAGATGCTTCTGCTTAAACAAAAGGTGATACATGCCTCCTCCTCCCCATGATGAAACTCCCTGTCTGCCCACACACCACTTCTGCTGGAGAGGTGTCATCAGCAGCAAAGTTAGGCCACTTGCCAGGCCAGTCTGACTTCCCTGAGTTCACAGGGAATGCCTGGGAAGAAGGCATCCACAGCCACAGCATGCATCTCAGGGACTGATGTAACTGCTTGGCTTCCTGCAGCTTCCCTTTCCTCCAGGAAATCGAGTCCTGGGGTTCTCACTGACTGGTTTCCATGAAAAGCACCAAGTCTCCTGAGAACGGGTCAGATTTCACAAGACTTCAGAGCACTAGTGTGGCTTGAATACTCATTGTTCAACTAATCATTGAATTTCCCAAGCTAGTGGTACCTAAAAAGAACAGCCAAAGATGAGAGGAAACACAAGAGGCAGGTACAGTGGAAAGCAATGACAGCACAGGGAACTGCTCATTGCACAAAAGGACCAGCATAAATCTGAAATATGGATTTGCTTGATGGGCTCTGGTCAGCTGGAAGAGCTCTGGTCCCCCTCAAGTGTCTGCTAACACCGAGATCATCCTTGAAGCACTTGGCAAGCAATGGAAAACATCACTGTTCTCAGTATATTCCACAAAAGACATCCAAAAACATTCCTGTGCATGGCATTTCTTTCAGCCACAAACTTCAACAAACTTCAGGCCTCAAAAATGAAAACCATCTTCAAAGAGTCCTTGCCAAACCACCTAGGGTCCAGAGTGGAGGTGGCTGCAGAGGAGTTTTGATCCAAGGGTTGCTGAAAGTACTGACAGGAAGAGAGGAGAGGAAGAGAGAGATGTGGTACTTGGTGAATGGAAACAGCTTACCTGGATTGGTGAGGAAGCACTGCAAAGGTGGGAATGACAACAAATCCAGAACAGTCCCTGCCCCACCATACCTTCAGCCTAAATAGATTGGACATTCCAACAGTGGGAGTGAAGCTGGAGCTAAAATTAACCTAAAAGGCTTCCCTGGTATAGTTTTCATAGCAATGGGAAGAAACCTAAATGTCTAACCTTCCAGGTCTACGTTTTCTTTTTTTTTTTTTTTTTTTTTTCCTCTACTAAATATATTTAGGAGGGACAGGGATCTCATTTGAGTCTGGGAGTTGAGAACAAGCATTACTCCTTGGGACACTTCCAGTTCAGCTCCACATAGGAGGCATGGCCAGATTCACTGCATTTCATCCAAACAGGATTTGAAAACTTCATTCACTTCCTCTCTGGGGCTGAAAAAAGAAATCCAAATATAGATAATTCTGCTCTGAGGAGGTAAGAGAGAAGAAATTTATAATTTCACCATTCACTGCCTTGCCAAGGTCTTCTAAGGCAAGTGTCTGATTGCTTCTTTTTGGTATTCAGTCAAACAACTGTTTCAAAAGAGCACTATGATTTGGATAATAATTTTCCCAAGCAAATGCACATCCTTACTTCCTTTGTGATTTGAGTCAACAAACATTCCCCTTGGGAAGTACCCAAAGGATAATTTGTTCGAGATCATCACTGTAAAATCAGAATAACTCAATGTCAGTTGGCTCTCAGAGCACCTGCATTCAACTCCCCAAACACCACAACATTCCTGTTCCAAAAGACAAGATGAGGACTTTATTAAACCATTATACTCTTCTGCTTTTTAATTCCTGTACTTAATAATTTCTGCAGATGGCACAGGAGGCTGTGGACAAAGTGACCTGAGTGCCAATGTGCAAATAGCCAGAGGGGAAAAGAAGAGAAAGTCCAAATTCTTCCCTCTCCTAATACCTCCTCAGTTGGTTTATTCCTCTGGTTGAACAATAGGGCTCTTCTGGGCTGAAGGGCAAACCCACTGAGGGGTGGTTCAGACCACTGAGAAGAAAAGTAGCATCTGTTTCTGTGCCCATGGAGCCAAGGAAGCTCTCAGGGGAGCTCTGAACTGTGTTTCTATCCAATGCAAATGATAAGAACCATGATTCATCCCCTGTACTGCAGCTCACATCACTCTGCAGGGGCTGCAGCTTCCAGGGCAGGAGGAATCACCCCACAGAGCCAGAACTCACCAACAGCCCTTTCCTTGGATGCTCTTTCAAGTAGAGTTGTTTTTATTTCAGTAACAATGAATGCATTTGTGCTTCCCAAGTGTGCCCAGTTTCCTCTATGAGAAATAAGGCAAATGATTCAAGACAGAATAAAGCCCATGTGTGAATGATCTGCCAGGGTGCTGGAAACACTCTTGCAGGACATGTCCTTACTGGTCCCACGTGTCAGGGCTGGCAGCTGTGAGTGCCACAGGCAGCAGCATGGCAGGGATCCATGAACAAACTGCTGTGGAGGAGCTGCTGCACAGGGTCAGTCAGGGGGTGTTGGGGGCTCTCTTCAGCCTTAACACAGCGGGGTATGAGAAAAAATGGCCGTACTTATAGTTCATATTTCACTGGTTTTTTGGCCAAAATAAAAGGTCCACACAGCAGCACCACAAAATGCAGCTGTCTGCTCATGAACACTCCTGGCTTGGCTGAGAAATACACAGGGATCAGACCTGATAGGGCAGAATATCTACCCCCTTGAAGTCAGTGCCAGTCTCTATCCCTGGAAATGCTGAAAAAGACGTGTGGATGTGGCACTTGGGGACATGGTTCCGAGGAGAACATGGTGGAAGCTGCATAGACGTTTGGACTTTGAGGTCTTTTCCAACCTCACCAATTCTGTGATTCTAACATCACGTGCCCTTGCAGCACCAAGGAAGGTAGCATTTAAAAGTCTAGAACCAATTGAAAGCCCTGCCTCCCTCGCAGGTGGAGCAGCAGTTGCCTGACAACTTGCCAGCATTAAGCAATACAGCACTGGATGATGCTGCAGTGGTGTAAGACAAACTGAAACATCACTTGAGAAATGGTAAAAAATGGTTTTTGTTGAGCAGCCCATGGCATTACCCAGGAGAAGCTACACATACTCTCTGAGAATTGCTCCTAGTTCCTTCCAATGGCATGGCAGGAACCTGGAAATGCAAATTCCTACACATTTCCTGGGTGCCTAAATTCGGGTACAAGACATGGTTTTGAGAGAGATGCTCACTCAGCATTTTTTAAAAACATTCAGAACACTCTGAAAAACTAAAATGGGCAGCACTGTTTTTAGTCCCTATGAAACTGCAGGTGATATGGCACCACCAGGGTACCACTCTGCCACCAAACACATTTCCACTATTGATTGGTGGTTCCCGCCCCCCATTAAAATGCATTTGCAAAGCAGCTCTTCCTGGAAGCAATTTTCCCTCAAGTCATCTCTCACTGTCATCAATATACAAGGATTATATCACACAGGGACTGCTCCAAAGAGGTCAAGGAGAAATGTGCAGCTGATTTTTGGCTTAAAGTTCTTGGACATTAACTCCTTATTCTGGCAAGGCAGCCTTGTTTCCAGGAACAAATCCCCTGACCAAGTAGAGCTTTGAGATATTCTTGATAGCAGAGCAGATGAGCATGAAAATAAATTTTATTTTAGCCCGAGTCCAACCTTCCTGCAAATGAATTAGAGGCATGACAAGCTGAAACATTTGGGACAGGATTTGCAGAAGAGCTCATCATTGGGGTTTTTCCTCTTATGTCAACAATGCTCTGCTGGAGCAGATTTAGGAAAAGGCAAGGAAATGTAACTTTTGGTTTTAAAGCCATGGTGCCTCTGTTCAGAAGTTCCCAGCCAGTCTTTCACCCTACTCCTTTGCTCCCAAGGTCACCTTCAGCCACATCTGGTCCTAGCAAACCCACAGGTGCATGAATCATTTCCCACCACGCCCAGCACCAAGGGCTGGATTTGTGAGGCTCCCACACACACACACCTACCTTGCCACAGGGTTGCTTGCAGGCTCCACACTCCCCCTTTTCCAGTGGTTACAAACTCCTGTGATCCCATCGACACGCAACACTCCATCAGGATTAAAAGTTAATCAGCAAAGACTTGTGGGCACAAAATGAGCAGTGAAAGGCAGTAGCTGCTGGTAGATACTGGCAGGCACCAACAACCCCTGGTACAGCAGAAGGTCACCAGCAGAGCCACCCTACACTCTATTGCTGCTCAGCAATGCACAGCTCTTCAGAGCATGCAGTGAAGCCACTAACTTGGGGTTTGTTGTGCTCACACAGTTATGGCTGGGGCCTGATTCATTAAAACCCTTTCTAAAAGGTCTTATCCTTGGGGCCAGGGCCCAGCTCCCAGTCTACACAAACCCACTGAATCCCAAGGCTGGAGCAAGTGATATGGGATTTTCATTAGGATATCCTTTGACCCTTCCTTCAGATCTTTAACAATGTTACACCAGATCTGATGCCAACAAGATATGGCTACCAGCATCCCAATCCTGACATTTCTCATTTATCATTCTTTGTACTTTCAGCTGGTTTCCAATCTGCCAGCAATGCTCCTGCCCCATCACGTGAACCTGGACAGCTGACAGATGGACTAATTAGGGACCACACTATTCATAGCAAAGCTGATAACAAGGTCAAAGCAAGGTCACTGTGAAAAATATATTTGACTTTGCAAAGAACAATTGGTATTTCCAAGGCTGGGCACAACTTGTGTTTTCCAAACCGAAGCGTCAGCAGAGCTGCCCAAAAACACTCCAATAAAACAGCTTCCAAGTTAAGAGGCCTAAGAACAGACTGTAAGGATAAGGAAACACAGGGGCAGGATGTGCTTGGGACAACAGCTGTAACATGGATGGGCTGTTCTGTATGCAATGGAAACGTATTTCCTGAAATATTAAAATTGTATCAAATTAAAAATTAACTATATTTGCACATCAAAGGAAGTTAAATCCTCAGTCATGTGGATTTAGTAAAGGTTTTTTCCTATGTTCCATAATGCAGTGGTTTGACCCAATGTACACAATCATGCAAAAAATAGGAAAAACCATACATTTTTATTATATTATGGGGTAATAAAACACCTACTTAAAGGTTTTCTCAGATTCAGCAGCTGAGTTGTGAGCAATGTGTGTACTCTGCATAGCTGGAGT